GGTGAAAAATATATGTATAAACTAGTCAAATAAAGAGAAAAGAAAAGTAAAGATTTAACTCAAGTAAAGTGTATTAAAGATGAAAATCAAAAAGTACTTTTCTTAGAAAAAGATATTCAACATAGGTGGGTGAGTTACTTTGATAAACTTTTTAATGAAGTTTCTGAAAATACGATCGACCTTAGTGATGTTAATATCGTAAATAATAATAAAACATTTCTTTTTACCGTCGCATTAGTAAAAAAAAAATTGATGAGGCTTTAAAGAAAACCAAGGGTTGAAAGTCTGTAGGACCTGATGATATCCCAATTGAAGTGTGGAAATATTTGGGAGATTTGGGAGTTTCTTGGCTTACTAAACTCTTTAATATTATTTTAAAAACTAAAAAGATGCCTGAGGAGTGGAGGAAGAGTGTTTTGATTCCCATTTTTAAGAATAAAGGGGATGCACAAGAGTGTGCAAATTATAGAGGAATTAAGTTGATGTGTCATACTTTAAAATTATGGGAGAGGGTAATTGAACATAGGTTAAGATGCATCACGAAAATTTCTCATAATCAATTTGGATTTATGCCTGGCAGGTCTACTATGGAAGCTATACATTTATTGAGAGGTTTGATGGGGAAGTTCATAGATAATAAGGAGAATCTACATTTGATTTTTATTGATTTAGAAAAAGCTTACGATAAGGTTCCAAGAGATATCCTTTGGAGAGTTCTCGCGAAGAAATGTGTTGATATGACTTATATTGAAGTCATTAAAGATATGTATACTAGAGCTGTTACTTGTGTTCAAACTGAAGGAGGATTGACAAAATATTTTCCTATTTCTGTTGGATTACATCAGGGATCGACTTTAAGCCAATATCTTTTTGCTTTAGTTATGGATGGTTTTAATGGACATCTACAAGAGGATGTACCATGGTGTATGATTTTTGCTGATGATTGTTGACCTCATTTTTGTGAGGTCTTTTCTTCTCCTCCTTAGAGCCTAGGTTCTAGCTCTAGAAATTCCTATGGACCATCTTAGAAAACTAGAATTGAGACTCACCTTTCTAGAAATTCCAGCCAATTCCTATTTTCTTTTGATGTCTAGCATCTTTGGCACAAGACCATCGTCTTATGAACGAGCGGTTATGGGCTATGTTACGTAGATTCAAGGAAAATGTTCCAAATAGGACTTCAAGCCTTAGGAAAACATTCGTCACGACTTTTTCGTCACGTACACACACAAAGTACACGAAGTTCACGAAATTGCGCGAAATCGTACTTCAATTAAGCTCAAAGGACGGGTGAAAATGCGAACTTCTCCGGATGACTTCCGACGACAAATTGATGACCTCCGACGACAAAATGGACTGCACCAACGCGTCCGGGATACCAATTTTGGTAGGAAAGGACACCCATATTGCCATACTTTCGACACGAGAAAATTGGCACGCAAATCAGTGAATTCGTCAAAATGACCTCTGACGGCAAAATAAACTGTACCAAAGCGTTCGGAATGTCGAAATTACCTAGGAAGGACACCTATTTTGCTTGGGCGCCGCACATGGATAAATCGCATGAAATTTTATATATATATATATATATATATACATACATATATATATATATATATATACAATTCTTTATTTCCTTTAAACCTAAATCCCTAAACCGCACGGCCCGAGCCTTCCTTCACGTTCGTGAGGCCGGCCCAAGAAGCTGAATGAAAATTTTGGTTTTAAATCTTTTTGGGGTTTGCTTTGGAGGCTTGGTTTTGCTTCATGTTGCTGCCCTCTCGTGTTTGAAACATAAGCTGAATGAAAATTTTTGTTTTAAATCTTTTTGGGGTTTGCTTTGGAGGCTTGGTTTTGCTTCATGTTGCTGCCCTCTCATGTTTGAAACATAAGCTGAATGAAAATTTTGGTTTTAAATCTTTTTGGGGTTTGCTTTGGAGGCTTGGTTTTGCTTCATGTTGCTGCCCTCTCGTGTTTGAAACATAAGCTGAATGAAAATTTTTGTTTTAAATCTTTTTGGGGTTTGCTTTGGAGGCTTGGTTTTGCTTCATGTTGCTGCCCTCTCATGTTTGAAACATAAGCTGAATGAAAATTTTGGTTTTAAATCTTTTTGGGGTTTGCTTTGGAGGCTTGGTTTTGCTTCATGTTGCTGCCCTCTCGTGTTTGAAACATAAGCTGAATGAAAATTTTTGTTTTAAATCTTTTTGGGGTTTGCTTTGGAGGCTTGGTTTTGCTTCATGTTGCTGCCCTCTCATGTTTGAAACATAAGCTGAATGAAAATTTTGGTTTTAAATCTTTTTGGGGTTTGCTTTGGAGGCTTGGTTTTGCTTCATGTTGCTGCCCTCTCGTGTTTGAAACATAAGCTGAATGAAAATTTTTGTTTTAAATCTTTTTGGGGTTTGCTTTGGAGGCTTGGTTTTGCTTCATGTTGCTGCCCTCTCATGTTTGAAACATAAGCTGAATGAAAATTTTGGTTTTAAATCTTTTTGGGGTTTGCTTTGGAGGCTTGGTTTTGCTTCATGTTGCTGCCCTCTCGTGTTTGAAACATAAGCTGAATGAAAATTTTTGTTTTAAATCTTTTTGGGGTTTGCTTTGGAGGCTTGGTTTTGCTTCATGTTGCTGCCCTCTCATGTTTGAAACATAAGCTGAATGAAAATTTTGGTTTTAAATCTTTTTGGGGTTTGCTTTGGAGGCTTGGTTTTGCTTCATGTTGCTGCCCTCTCGTGTTTGAAACATAAGCTGAATGAAAATTTTTGTTTTAAATCTTTTTGGGGTTTGCTTTGGAGGCTTGGTTTTGCTTCATGTTGCTGCCCTCTCGTGTTTGAAACATAAGCTGAATGAAAATTTTTGTTTTAAATCTTTTTGGGGTTTGCTTTGGAGGCTTGGTTTTGCTTCATGTTGCTGCCCTCTCATGTTTGAAACATAAGCTGAATGAAAATTTTGGTTTTAAACCTTTTTGGGGTTTGCTTTGGAGGCTTGGTTTTGCTTCATGTTGCTGCCCTCTCATGTTTGAAACATAAGCTGAATGAAAATTTTGGTTTTAA